TGTGCATTACACTCCTCTGGTAGAATATTTTTCTTAAAAATTAAAGAAAACTATTTTTAAAATACTGCTCTCACACATTTAACTTCCAAGGAAATTAAAGAGAGGAAAAAAAGAGGGGAAAAAACCTCACACATATATACACATATTAACGCATAAAAGAGTGTTTCTTACCCAACTGGAAAGTACACTGTGAAGGCGAGGTGGTGCAGAACTTTTTTTAGCAAGGACATAGCTGACCAAACCACAGAACGCCACCAAGCCCATCCTCCAACCCCCTGGCTTACATCCACTGGCCTCGTTTCTACCCACCATTTGCCTCTCTATAGCCATATGGACCAAGATGATGCGTCATCTGTCATCCAGNTGGTGTTCCCCTGGCTTACATCCACTGGCCTCGTTTCCACCCACCATTTGCCTCTCTATAGCCATATGGACCAAGATGATGCGTCATCTGTCATCCAGAATTTTCTCTCGACCTTCGCACACTCAGTCACCTTTCGCACACTCGACAGGCACATCCTTGGCAGAGCACGTGCCCTGCACCCAGGAGTTTAAGGCTGAACACAGAACACAGCATTTCTGACACTCCTTACTTTGCCAAATGGATTTATTCCAGAGCTTTAAAGAAAATCAAAACTGAAAAAGTGACCAGATGGGTGTTCAAGGAGAAACGTACAGACGAAGTCAGTTAGTAGACTGACGTACTTGATTAAAAACAGACCCTCGATACAGAAGAACTCTGATTATTCACCCTGAGAGAAAAAGTTATGGCAAAAGCAAAGCATCGAAAAGATACATAAAACACTCCATAACTGAAACTGACTTTCAGCTTCGCATAGCTAAATGGTTTTTCGTTTTGTTTTGTTTTTTGAATCCTGACCCAAGGATATTTTTTCCATTGATTTTTAGAAAGAGTGGAAGGGAAGGAGGGAGGGGGGAGAGGGAGCAGGTTAAGAGGGAAAGGGAGAGGGAGGGAGAGAGGGAGAGAAAGAGAGAGAAACACTGATGTGAGAGAAACACATCGATTAGTTGCCTCCCACATGTGTCCCAACCGGAGCCAGGGATCGAACCTGCAACCCCAGTAACTGCCCATGACCTGGAATTGAACCTTCAACACTTTGGTGCTCGGGCCAGTGCTCTAACCCCTGAGACACACCAGCCAGGGCCATAGCTAAATGTTTTTTAAACTATTTTTGAACTTACTTCATGCAGTCACCAAGAAAAAAATTAAGACCTGTACATCGTACAAAACAACTAATAAACAGAATCTCATACGTATATAGCACTTACTATATGCAAGCATTCTTCTGAGCACTTTGCATATATTCATTCTCTGGATCCTTACAAACCCTTTTCTAATCCCTGTTTTCCATGCAAAATAGGATGCACAGAGGTAAGGTATCTTGCCCAAGGTCACACACACACTGCCCGTAAGTGGCAGAGCTGAGATTCGAAACGGGCAGTCTGAAACTACCTGGGGTTAGTTATTACACTAACTACCTTCCCGAAAATGTGTAACATAGATGATCCCTCTTTGAAACAGATTTTTAAGTTTACTAAAAAAATTCACTTTATAAGTTGAGAAGCCTTACAATTAAAAAATTTAAACTCTGGAAGTTACCTTTAGGTGGTAGCAAAGCCAAAGTTTATCAGACATGGCAAATACCTACCCAAGAAGTATTGGAGGGTGAACTTTTGTGAGTTAAATGTGTAACATCTGGAGAAGTTAACCTGGCTGAAGAAATGTAGGCAAGGTGATGACAGTCAAGAAACTCAAAGGGCTTGGAAGACAATAAAAGAAAACCCAGGGCTGTGGTGCCCAACATCAGTCACAAGCCTGTTAATCCTGCTTGAGCTCTTCTCTCCCAAATGGTGTCTCCTTTCCATCACACTGCTATTGCTTAAATTCAGACCTTCAACATCCCTTGGTCCAACTATTCTACCAACGTCTTATTTGGCTTCTGGTCACCACCTCCTCCCCGCCCCAGCACCGGATCTCTCCTCTACGGCTAAGCAAACAGTCTTTCTGAGATACCAATCTATCTGATCGTGTCATGCTCCTACTTCATAACTCCTCAATGGTCCCTACAGCCAACAATTTCCAGTTCCACCATCTCTGTAGGAAATCAAATACCATCCACTCCAGGCTTTCCCTTGCACCTCCTGCCCGTGGGCCCAGGAAATACTAGGCTGTCATTAGTCTTAGCCAGTTCACAATGTCCCTCTGCTGGAAAAAATATGCCTTCCAATCGCTGTTCATCAACCTGCAGAATCTCTCTCTGTTCGTCTCTTTTTCAAAGTTGTTCCAATTCCTCCTCCCACCAACAGACCATAATTTTTTCCTTTATGTCCTCATGGTACCATACATACATACTTCTATTATACTTCAGTAATTAATTTTTTACATGCCTGCCTCCCCTATGATGATATAGTCCCTTAAAGAGTAGAGACAATGTCTTACCATTTTATCAACAGCATTTAATAGTTTCTGGCACACAGAAAATAGTATAGTATTGCTTAATAAATAAACACATGCCTTCCACAAGCCCTTATAGCCTTTCTCTCCCCCCCCCTTTTTTTTTGAAGGCTCTACGAGCCATACAGTTGTTTTTAAAAAATTTTTTGTTGTTGATTTTTAGAGAGATGGGGGGACGGGGGGGGGAGAGAGAGAGAGAGAGAGACATCGACATGAGAGCGAACATGACTGGCTGCCTCCTGCACGCCTCCTACCAGAGATCGAGCCCGCAACCGGGGCATGTGCCCTGACCTGGAACAGAATGAGCAACCTTTCAGTGCCAGGGAGGATGCCCGACCCACTGAGCCACACCCGGGAGAGCCAGCCTTTATCTTAACAAAAGTTTTCAATTCAGTCTACTGATTCCCTCCAGCCCTATGAGGACATGGTTCCGCATTTTGTAAACGGAAGGTCTTCTAAAAAGATATGATCTACTTTATAGTTAACTTTTCAGAACACCTACGAAGTGAGGAACATATGTTGAATAGTAGTTCACAAAGAATGCTCCACAGAACAAAGCCTGGAGGCTCTCAGTGGGTGTTGGGAATGAGGTGGGAGATCTACGGTTAAATAAATTCAGAAAGGACCTCATGATGTCTCCTTCTGAAAGCCTTAAACCACATGATCATATTAAAGGTTTGGGAAAATCCTGAAGTAAAGGAAACTGGTTAACTTTGACACTCACTAACTCTGGGCAGGTAACCGAACCCTACTTTGCCTCAGTTTTCTCATCTGTTAAATGTGGACAATGGTACCCACTTTCATAGTTATGGCAGGGACTGGATGAGATAAGATCAAGTGTTCAAAACAATTCTTGACTTACAGTGAGTGTTAGCAATTTTTAATTTTAAACTGACATTTTTCTAAACATATTAGAACACGAAGTCTGTTTTCTGGTCTAGCCATGATAAACACTGCATGCCTCACCCTTTGAGAAACACTGATATAAAATAAATACTCCACCAGAGTAGTCATTTTGGAGATTCATGGCTCTAGGCTTTAGGAGAAATTTAGGCGAGCTGATAGTTTAAATGTAGGACAATTCCTCTGGTTTCTCTGGGGCTGGCAAACAAGGTTTCAACTGTCACAGCTTCTGGAGGTTTCAGTTTTACCAAATTAAGGTAGAAATGAGCACCCTGTGTAAACTACAGAAAACTGCTCTGCAACAGAAAGAAGTTTGTTAGAGCTAAATCTCACTGTCGCAGTTTTTGTTCATAAACAGAAGTATGCTCATCGTGTTTCTATTTTCTCTTTTTCAACATTCCTTTTTATGTTAATCCTCACCAAGGATATGTTTTCATTAATTTGAGAGCGAGAAGGAGGGAGAGAAACATCACTGTGAGAGAGAAACGTCAAGCGGTTGCCTCACAGCACCTCAGCCGGGATCAAACCCGCACCTGGGTCCGTGCCCTGGCCAGGAACCTAGCCCACAGCCTCTCGGTGCATGGGATGGTGCTCCAGCCAAATGAGCCACACAGCCACGGCCGTCATATTTCTGTTTCCTTTGCACTAAGGAATCTTGTTATTTAGTAAAATGAAGAATCCACCCAGTCCATCTGTTTCCTTCAGTCATTCAAAAGATTTTATACAGGGCAAACGTAAAACTTGCTGAAGTGCAACATTGTGCCACATTTTGCATGGGGGCATCTGTACCCATTTTCTTGAGTGAAATATCATAGTTGTCATCCAGGAATCCATAATGCCTAAAAGGTTTAGGAACCACTCAGTTTTTAAATCAGGTCCATGTATTGTTTAAATACATATTAAAAATCAAACTATCAAGGGTATCTACGGTGAAAGGTAAGTCTCCCAATCCTAATCCTTACCCAGAGTCAACCACTATTATCAGCTTTTTATATCTTTCCAAAGATAGCTTATGCATGTGTTTATAAGTATTTATAGTAATATTATACCATCCCTCCATTTTCACATAAATAATTCACGATATGCACCATACCACCACTAGCTTTGTTCACTTGGTAGTTTATTTTGAGATCCATCCATATTAACACACAAGTACAGGTTATTTGGTTAATGAACATACCAAAACTGAAGGCATCCTACGACAGATACTTAGGTTGTCACCAATGTCTTGCTATTTATAAATAATGCTGAAAATAAACATCCTTGAAGCTATACCTTTAGGCAAGAAATCCAGCATAGAATTGCTCAATTGAAAAGTATAAAGACTGCTAAACTACCCTCCGAGGGGTGCCCATTTTATACTCTCAACAACACTTATTTCTTACATACTCAATACAAGATTGTCAAATTTTCCCTTTGTTACCTGACCAGTGAAAAATAGTAACTCGTGGCTTCCGTTTGTGTGGCCTGTTATGAATGAAAGAACCTCTGATTTCAGAGGTTATCCTCACGGCGACTTAGTCATGGCAACAAAAGGCATCATCAAAACTGGAACAATAACAGAATTCAGCTAAGGACAAACTATTTCCAGAACCCCAGCGTGCCCACAGGCCCCACTCACCGTCCAGCAGCCAGTGCTGACCCCGCCGGTTCTCCAGCTCCGACACCATCAGGCGCGTGATCACATGGTCTGGAACCAGGAGCCCCTTCTCTATGTACTGCTTTGCCATATCACCAACTTCTGTCAGAGACAGGGGAAAGGCGACACTCAAAAAAAAGCTTCCAAAAAACTAAAAGCTTACAAACTCTTTAATGACAGTTGCCTTCTCTCCCGTTCCTCCCGGCTGGTATGGGGGGAAAGGTTATAGGTAGATGTTTTTAGAGTGATGTTTTAAATACTGGCTTCAATAATGGTGGCACTGTCTCTCTTTTGTCTCCCCCCTCCCCCCAAAATTATAAAAGCAGCCCCTGAAGATATACACAGACAGAAATAAAAATAGAAGAGAACATAAATTAGACATAAAGTGAAAATAAGAATAGGAAACAACGCTGGAGTCCAGAGAGACGGTGGGACACAAAAGGCCGGGAANCACACAGAAGAGAATATAAATTAGACATAAAGTGAAAATAAGAATAGGAAACAACGCTGGAGTCCAGAGAGACGGTGGGACACAAAAGGCCGGGAAGGAAGCCCTGGCGACTTCCCGAAGGGGAGCCACAGGCTGGGTGCTGAGACCCCCCAGTTTATGGTAACAAGGAAATGTGATCAACTACGCGGCTCACGGGACACAGACGACTGAAGGAAGCTGAGAAGCACCACCATTCCTTAGAGGCCAAAGGAAAAACATTTCCGCTGCTCTTCTACAAAGAACGCTGGGTAATACAAACAGCGGCTCTATTTCTTCTCAGGAGCCTCAGTATATGCCAATGGCACCTGCTGACATGACTAACAGAAGCTCAGTGTCACCAGCTGAATGCCACGTTCATAAAAGGATGAGAATTTTTTTTTTTTTCAGAGAAAAATATGCTTCTATCTTAATTGAAAGTAACAATTCCTTATTTGTGGAAGTTCTAAGTTGGGTTCAGCAGAACAAATTATCAGTTTAAATTGGTTAAATTTCTAGGAACTGAATTTTTTAAAACCAAGATTAAGTCCTCTGCTCTCCAAGGAACTGACAGTGGACCATTGAGAACCACATTCTTGACAAGCCAATTAAGTTCTTTCAGCTGTTGTTGTTAATCCTCACACGAGGATATTTTTTCCACTGATTTTTTAAAACAATTTTTTTAAAGGGAGTGGAAGGGAGAGGAGGGAGGGGAGAGGGGAAGAGAGAGAAAAACATTAATGTGAGAGAGACACATTGATTGGTGGCCAATGCTCTAACCACTGAACCACACTGACCAGGGCCCAGTTAAGTTCTTATGAAAACATAAAGCAGAATTATATTTCTAGGGGGTGAAAAAAAAGCTCAAGAATCACTTTTCCCCCACTTTCACCTTGAATTTAAGGTAGAGCCTTTCCTTCCCAAGACTGAGTCTACACTCCTAACCCCAACTTCAACACTGAAATATGAGCTGTGAAGAGCTCCGTATCATTCGATTACTACTACTGGACAAAAGTAGCTCAGTCAGGCCCATGACGCAGGTTCAGTAACTCGCTGAAAGAAACAGAACACAAAAGACAACAAACCACATTCCAAAATGTGGCTGAACATGAATGTGAAAAACCCACTGGTTCAACAAGTATTCAGACTGCGTACTATGTAACAGGTAATAAATAGTCTACCGACGTGGCAGTAAAGAAAATGTTGCTGATATTTAAGCAATCTTACTTTCCTTAAGAGCAACACTAACAATCATTAACAAGTACATACTATGTCCCAGGCACTGTGCTTTAAGCATTATACGTATCATTTCATTTAATCCTCATAGATCCTCACCTTCACCTGAGAGGTAATAGCCATTTTTTTATGACAGCTTTATTGAGATATAACACACACCACAACATTCACCATTTTGAAATGTACAACTCAGTGGTTTTTAATACATTCTCAGTGTTATGCAATCACCACCACTATCTAATTCCAGAACATTTTTATTACCCCAGAAAGAAACCCTATACCCACTGGCAGTCACTCCCCATTTCCTCCTTTCTCTAGCCTCTGGCAACTACTAACCTACATTCTGTCTTTATAGACTGTCCTATCCTGCACATCTCATATAAACAGAATCACACGATATGTGGTACTTTGTGTCTGGTTCCTTCACTTAGCAGAATGATTTCAAGGTTCATTCATGTTGTACAACATATCAGTACTTCATTCATTTTTGTGGCTGATATATCGATATATATTTTTGTACAGATATATCACATTTTGTTTAGCCATTTGTCCATTGATGAACATCTGGGCTGTTTCCACTTTGGGGCTATTATGCATAATGATGCACTGAACATTCATGTACAAGTCTTTGTGTGAACATACGCTTCCAGTTCTCCTGGGTAATACCTGTAGAGTATGTATGTTTTATATCTGAAAAATGCCTGGAGTAACTGACAAGTTCGGTCCTGTCCTACTCTGCAATGGTCACACCAACCAGCCCCAGGGCTTTGTTCTTAAGGTGGATATAAACAACAAATACACACCTTCCAAGGCGAGAGGCCAGATGTGAATGGCTCCACACATCCCATGTGGAAACAGTAGAAGAGTAGAGAATGCCTTCTTTGGAAGAGAGAAGACCCAGCGAAGGACATGATAACAATTTACCCATGACCAGATATTTGACACATGGAAAAGGCGTTATTTTATTCAAAACCCAGGATTTACAATTAGGACTAGTAGTGGGAATTACAAGTGGAAAGAAAAAGTTTCCTAAGGAAATGTTTGAATGGAGACTGTCTAGGAAGGGATACTATAGAGGGATTCTGACAACTGGACTCAGAATTGGGCAACATAATTTTCCAACTATTTTTGGCAGCTGTGGCTTTTCTTTGGCGCAGGACAGGCATGTCCTCGATCTGATACAAAATCAAACTTCTACCACATCTCTCAATCCCCACAATGAAAACCTGGAAAGGCCAACAGCCAGAGCAAAATGGATTTAACAATATATTTTCATCTGAACGAAGACCTCACTGCAACAGCAAACAGAAATAAAACATGGTTCAGAAGTAGAGGCCCATTCCCGAAAACATGACCTTCACCTGCCCATGTCAGTTTGCTTGGAAGAAAAGCAGTATCATTAAGTGCTAATGCTAGCACATTTAGATGCAAACACGGCTGCTCCAATTTCTCAAGTAGAATTCCAAAGAAAGGCTGTAGACAAACACACGTTGTCTTTTTGTTCTCATCGCTTATAAACTGAGGGCAAACTGGATACGGAAGACAGAGCTGAACAAGTGTCCTCAAAGCAGCAAATTCCCCATGCCTAGCCAAATGGCCAGAAACAGATAACAACTCAATGTTCTTCTCATTGTTCAGACCAGGAAATGCTGAGAGCCCTGTAAAAGAGCTTGATTCCCTCATAAGGGCTTAGAGCTAGGAGAAACCAGTGCCACTCCCAGTATAGTCCTTTCTTCAAAAGGTCATTGAAAATGCCAAAACACACGCATGCACACGTGCAGCATACGAGGTGTGGTCAAAATGAACTGTAGCTTTGTGATTCTGCCAACTACAAGTTCTTTATCTGCCATTCTTAAGAATATTTTGGTACTGAATTAACTACTGGAAAAAAATTACTAAAACAAAGAAAAGCTTCATTCTATAAACCGTTTATCCCTGATATCACTTTGATGAATCTCTTCTGGTTAAGAAAATAAGCTTTAGAACAGCTGGTGTGGCTCAGCGGTTGAGCATCGATCTAGGATGATCCAGGAGATGGAGGTTTGATTCCCGGGCAGGGCACAGGCCCGGGTTGCGGGTTCGATCCCCAGCAGGGGGCGTGCAGGAGGCAGCCGACCCATGTTTCTCTCTATTGATGTGTTTCTATCTCTCTGGCTCTCTCCTTCCCCCTCTCTCTAAAATCAATAAAAATGTATTTTTAAAAAATATATTGGTTAAAAACTGGATACCAAGGAACTTTAGAGGTGAAAATTATGGAAGAAACTCCTAAATTAGGGCATTTTGGCACTTAACGACTCATTTCAGATGTCCAGTACCCACCCTTTAGTTGGCCTTGCTTAAAGGCAGGTTTTCTTTTCCTTCACACCAAAAAGACATGGTCTTAAAGCACTCCATGACACCTGCTATTGGTAGGTATGAAGAAAATTCTGAGTCTGATGTAAAGGTCAAGAATATATATTTTAGAGCCATACTTCCTGGGTTTAAATCCTGACATTGTCACTTAAAGGCTTTCAAGACCTTGGTCCCATTGTGTTTTTTTTGCCTCAGTTTCTCCATCTATAAATTGGTAATAATACCGCCTAGGGTTGTTTTCAAAGTTGTACAGGGTTAATGTGTGTAAAGGACTTGGAATAATGCCTCTTTGCAAATTTCACTCAAGGATATGGAGATAGGAAGTATTTGCTCCTACATGCCTGGTGTTGTTCTAAGGTGTTTATATACATGAACCCATTTAATCCTCATAAATATCTATGAGGTCAATGTTATTTTCCCCATTTCATAAGTAAGTCAACTGAAGCCAAAGTATTTCAGCTAATAAATGGTGGAGCTGGAACTCAAACTCAAGCAGGCTGGCACCATTTTCTTAACCACTCGTTACACTACACTGTCTCTCAATGTTTGTGAACATTTCCTTGAACAAAAGCACTTTGAATGTTAGAGTACATGTGTAATTTGTGATTTATAAGAAATATACATATGGTCCAAATGGGGCTCAGAGCTCCCAAAACCCTTGGAATTTCCTGAGTGGTAAGAGCAATGGAAGTATCTTTCACTATAATATTTGGTGGTCTCCTGTCCTTAGTTCCTGAAAACGTTCCAGAGCCCTAAAAGTGAAACAGTGTCTTATCATTTATAATAATCTCCTTTCCACAAGTGGGTTATATCAATGAGGTGACTGCTGGAAAGCACCTAAGGGTGGGTACTGGTGCCAGACGAACCATGAACAAAAGGGTATACTTTCACCCCCACCCCCTGGCTTCCTAGAAGGGGAGAGGGGTTGGAAGTTGACTCAATCACCAATGGTCAATGAGTTCATCAATCATGCCTAGGTAATGAGGTCTTTATAAAAACCCAAAAAAGGGGGATTCGGAGTTTCCAGGCTGGGGAACCACAACACTTCAATGTGTCAGGCCCCAAACTCCATGAGGGCAGAAGCTCCTTTGTGCAGGACCTTACCTTCTGTATCTCTTTATCTGACTGTTGATTTGTATCCTTTAATATCCATTGTAAAAAACTGGGAATCTATGTAACACTTAAGAGAACTCAGGGTTCATGATATTTATAAACTTAATTTATTAGATTTATATGAATTACTTAGTGAAGTTGGTCAGTCAGGCAATTGAATTACTCTAAAAGGAAATAAAATACATTAAACTTGTAAATGCATGGTAAAATAATAAAAAATAAAAAATAAAAATAAAAATAAAACAAAAAACTGGTAATCTAATAAGTAGATGGGTTTCCTGAATTCTGTGAGCTGCTCTAGCAACAGAACCTGAGGAAGAAGTCATGGGAACCTCTGATTTATAGTCAGTAGGTCAGAAGCATAGGTGACCACCTGGGCTGACCATTAGCATCTGAACTAGAGGGTAGATTTGTAGGACTGAGCTCTTAACCTATGGGATCTGACCCTGTCTCCAGATAGACAACCTCCTCCTCTCCCTCCTCTAATCCATTGTCCAACAACTTCCAGAGGAACTTCCCCAAACACAAGTGAGCATAAGTCACTTCCTCCTCCAACACCAACAAATGCATTCCCTGGCCTACAGGATGACATGGAAA